CTCATGGATTGTGTTTTCAGTATCTTATCTAAAAACTCTTTTCTTAATCCAGGTCACAAAGATTTTCTCCTGTGTTTTCTTCCAGAAGTTTTACAGTTTTATATTTTAGGTCTGTGATCCATTTTGAATTAATTTTTGCATAAGGAGCTAAGTATGGGCCAAGGGTCGTTATTTTATATGTGGATATCGAGTTGTTCTAGCACTACTTGTTGACAAGGATATCCTTTCTCCACTGAATTACTTTACACTTCTCTCAAAAGACCAGCTGATTATATTCATATGGGTCTATTTTTGGACTCTGTTTTGCTGCATTGATCTATTTGTCTGTGCTTTCACCAGTACCACACTGTCTTGATGACCATAACTTAATAGTAAATCTTGAAATTGGATAGTGCTCTTTTGCAAAATTGTTTTGGTTATTCTGATTCCTTGCCCTTTACTTATGAATTTTAGAATCAGTTTTCCAATATTACAAAAATAACAATAAGCCTATCGCTGGGATTTGATTGAAATTGTGTTGAACCTGCATATCCATTTGAGGAGAATCGGCTCATTAACAATACCATGTTGTTCAATCCGTGAACACAGTGAGCCCTTCCAATGATTCATGTCTTTGATCTCTTTCACCAGTGTTCTATCGTTTTCACCATATTGTAAAGTTAGATTTACACCTAATAAATATTTCCCTTTTTGCTGCTATTGTAAATAGTCCTCTCCTTTGCTTTTCATTTTTAACTTGTTGTTCATTGCTAAGATATTGAAATGCAGTTGATTTTTGTAAATTGATTTTGTATCCCATGACATTACTAAAGTTATTTATTAGTTCTGCGGAGGTTTTTAGTAGATTCTTTGGGATTTTCTACATAGATCATTATGTTGTCTACCAATGAAGTAGTTTTGTTTCTTCCTTTTCAATCCATATGCCTCTATTTTTCTTACCTTACTGCAACTCGCAGCAGTATGAGGATGTGAGAAAAGACATCCTTTCCTTGTTCCCGGTGTTAGGGGAAAGCATGCAGTGTCTCACCAAGTATGAGTTAGCTGTGGGTTTGTAGATGCGTTTCTCAGTTAGGGAAGTTCCCTCCTATCCTTGCTTGCTGAAAGTTTTGTTTTGTTTTGTTTGTTTGTTTGTTTTATCATGACTGGATATTGAATTTTGTCAAATGCTTTTTCTGTCTCAATTCATACTAATATATGACTTTTCTTGTTTTGTCTATTCATAAGGCATATACCTTTGAAACATTTGAAAGTACTGAACCAGTCATGCATTCCTGTGACGAACCTTAGCTATGGTGCATTTATATTTCTTATATGTGTTGGATATGATATGCTGATACTTTATGGAGGGTTTTTGATAGCCTGGAGTTTCTCTGTAAGCTTGTTAATGACTCAGCCCACTTTGCATCCTTCCTTTTGAGATATTCATGTATTCATAGTCTAGTGTGGGTTATTCTGAATCCGGGTCTCTCTTTCCTGTCTCTGTGATTGGTGTCCTTTTGGCTTTCTGTGTTTCTCCTTTTTGCCTACATGTTAGGAAAACATGAAGTTACGCAACTCAATTCAGGAACAGGATTTACGAAGAAGTATTTGAGTCCAGTAACTAGATTCAAATTGATTTGTCTCACATTATTGAGGTCCTACCAAGTGCTGGTTCCCTCTTGTCACCTTAGAAGAACAGTTTATTTGTGTTTATCTGAGCAGTCTAGTTCTCCATTAGGAGGCACATGAGAGGTATTGCTGAGGATGAACCTTTCCTCCACGTCTCTTTGTGTCCTCCCTGTTTCCTCCAGAGGCATCCAGATCAGGGCAGAGGCAGAGCCTGCTTCATGGGGACTGAAAGGCCTTCTTTGTCTTTCCACCAGGAGACTTTTGTAGTGGCCAGGAGGCCTGAGAATGACCCTGCAGGCAGGGCAAGGGGAAATGTAGGCAGTGACCGGGTTCTGGCCTAACAGGTTATTTTTAAAAAGTGAAGCCCAGGGAGGTGGGGAACTTTCTGAAGGGAGGTCTTTGTTTTCACTTGGCACTTAGATGACTCAAAAGTGAGAGAGCAAAGGAGAATGCAGGCTGACTCTTCGCCTGCCTTCTGAAATGACTTCAGCTCCCCTTGGGCTGCAGGTCACAGTGGTCATGCCTTTGAACGGTTGAAAAGGCTGGAAGAGGAAGAAAGGGGCAAGGTGTCCACGCCACTGCCTGCCTGACTGAAGGGCGGTTTACCACAGCTGGCTTTTTGTTCCCTAGCAAATACAGCGGCCAGAGAGCAGGTGGGAAAGGCCCTCTCCGGGGCGTTGTTCCTCAGAGCTGGGTCTGGGGGCAGGAGAGGGGGCCAGCTAATGGCCTGCAGAAGTGGCAAGGCCTGCTGCCTTGCTTGCTTGACTCAGCAGTTTAGTTTGTGGAAGAGTTTGCACGGATGGAATCGCTTGAGCATATTGTCAACAATCTGAGGCAGCCAGGCCAGTCGGGGGAGTTTTTTTGTTGGTCTCACCAGCTGTCTGGACCCTCCCATTGGAGGCAACCCTGCTCCCCACCTCACCATGCAGCCTGGGTCCCTGGAGGCTCCCTGGGACATTCCTGCCACCTGCTGCCCTCCTCTCCCACCCAGCTCCTCTCCCACCCAGCTCCTCTCCCTTTTCTTCTGGCCAGTATTCTGATTTCAGTCCCCATTACCTTGCTAGAACTGACACAGCCTCCTACAAACTGACTTCTGTGTCTCTTCTCTCCCATCTCCAGTCCACCTGCTACTAGATTCATTTTCCTCAAGAACAATTCTGCTGTGGCTCTTCTCTGCTCATTAACCTTCACTGGCTCCCCATTGCCCACCTGGCGTATCTACTTCCTCAGCCTGGAATCTGATCCCCACTCCATCCCGCCAGCTTTGCTTCCCATCACACCTCTTCACACACCTGTGCAGTTTGCCTAATATGGACAGCAACCCTCTTGTTCCCAAATATACTCTTGTGCTTTCCCACCCCTATGCCTTCTGTGGCTGTGTTCCCACTGCCAGAAGCGTCTGATTCCCCTTCTCTGTGTGTTGGAATGCTTTTGTGGAGTCCACACCAGGGCCACGTCTGCTCTTCATCGGGGCCATGCCTGACCACCTCCTTCCTCTATTCCTCACAAATTGTAGCTCTGTGGTAGTATTTATCCCCTGGTTTGTTGCCATTACTTGTGTCTGGATCTTAAGCTCCTTACCCTTTAGGACAGGGTCCATGTCTAAGCTGTCCTCATCTCCCGGTGACAACACACTGCACTCAGAGGAATCATCATTTTTGTGCTACTTTGTGCCAAGACCTCAAACATTATCCCATTTTTTTCCTCCCAACAAACTTCTGAAAGGAGTTTTAATACCTAACATTTGTTGAGCATTTACTGGAGCAGAACCAGGCTGTTCTAAATATGTTGCCTGAATTAGTTCATTTAATCCTTGTATTAACTCATCAGCTCTTTGTGGTACGTTTGATTATTGTCCCTCATGCCAAAGATGAGGAAACTCAGGCCCAGCGGGGTTAACTAGCCCCTACTGGCTGTGTTGAATGACTGTCTGACCTGTGGGGGTTGCTAGCCATGCTTTATTGCTCCCGTTTGGCCTTCCTTCCTCTGATGGAAGGCCAGCCTTTGGCTAACACTCAGACTTCCTTCCCCAGGCCCCGCAGGGCACCACGCAATGATCACACGTTCTCAACAATAGTGATTTTTCATCCGTGACACACGCTTACAAATCCCTTAATGGCTTTTGTATTCTTGCTTTGTCGTTTTTTATCCCAGACTAATTTCTTCTTCCCCAGGCTGGCACTTATTTGGCATTGTGCTGCCTGGGATTTTAATCAAGGCGGCCTACACCCACATTGTGAAACTCAACAGGCACTCACTTGTGGCACGGGCCCAGGGCTGGGTGCCAGGCCTCCTGCTGGGACTGGCCCCACAGCTTCTCCAAATATTTATTTCCCCAGGGTAGTGGCCAAAGTACTCAGCAGCAGAACTATTTCTTCTGTGTCAAGGTTCCTTAGGATTCTCTTTGGCAAAATGGCAACCAGTGTCGTCTCGTATCCCTAATGCCAAGCACAGAGCTGGACATGTGTTTGGCCATCAATAAATAATCCTTGAATGAATCACTTCATTCTCTTTTCCGTTTTAAAAGCTAGGGTTGCCTGACTGGGAAACCAGGAAAATTCTGGAAACAGATGTATCAGTTAGCTTTTGCTGGATAACAAATATAGACACTCCTCAACTTATGGTGGGTTACTCTTGAGAAATCCATTGTAAGTTAAAAGTACTGTTAAGTCAAAAATGCATTTAATACCCTCAACCTACCAAACATTATAGCTTAGCCTGGCCCACCTGAAACATGCCCAGAACACTTACATTAGCCTACAGTTAGGCAAAATCATTTAATACAAAGCCTATTTGGTAATAAAGTGTTGAATAACCCAAGTAATTTATTGATGTTTTACTGAATGTGTATCACTTCCATACCGTTGTAAAGTTGAAAAATCATAAGTTGAACTATCATAAGTCCAGCCATCATAACTGGGCACAAAACCTCAGTGGCATACAACAATAAGAGTTCATTGCTCACATGACTGAGGTCAGCTGGGGATTGACTGTGCTCATTGTAAATTAGGCTTGCTTCTGTGGCTGGGGGTTGGCTGCTGTCATCTGATCTGGGCTGGTTTCAGCTGGGGTAACTGCAGTGACAGCACTGTACATGTGCCTCTTATCCTTCTGAGGCCAGCTGAGTAGAGAAAAGTGGTCAGATAATTGCACACGCTGGGTGGTATGAGCACACCAAACTCAAAAGGACCTTCCTCTGCTGTGGCACTGAAGAGTGGCCACATTTCATTTTAAGAAAAATCAATATGTAGATATATTTGCTGATAGAACTCTCTTTTCAGATGGAATCTTACAGAGAACAGGAGTAAATGATTCTTAGAAGCTGCTCAGGGGTAGGGGCCGAGAGGAGGGTGGAGGCAAAAGTTCTGTGTCTTCCTACTGCTCCTTCTCAGTTTCTGTGGCTACTGGGAAGCCAAAACCAGGAGCTCTCGAAAGTGCCTCTGTCGCTGACATTCTTCATTGACCTGAAGCACAGCGTGGATGCCCCAGGCCCAGCAGTTAGCCCTGTTAGAGTCTCTAGCCTGCAGAGATTTCAGAACGAGCAGAACTGCAGTAATGTAGTATGGAGGTGTGGGTTTCTCACACTGTTCTCAAGGTTTGACCACCAGGGAGGTTTCATTCTATAATATTCAGTAACAAGCTTCTCAGAGGTGACAGCTGCCTTTTAGCTGAGCCATCCTGAGAGTATCTGCTGAGGATGCATTTTTAAGCCAGACCCCCAGGTGCAGGTCACAGATGGTGTCTCTCTCACCTGTGCCCGTGACTGTCCTCTGGATAGATTTCAGCTTCCCTGTGCAAAGAATCAAAACATGAAACCCAGAACGGTGCATATGTTACTTTCAATAGAGGCCAGATAGGGCCTTTTTCTCTTTAAGTGCTTTTTCTGTAACGGATTACTCAAAAATTTAATGGTGTAAACCAATCACTTACTCTCACAAATTCTGCAGGTCAGGAATCCAGGCAGGGCACAGTGGAGAAGGCTTATCTCTACTCCACAATGCCTGAGGCCTGGGCTGGGAAGACTTGAAAGTTGGGGCCAGAGTCATCTGAAGGCTTACTGTCTCACATCGCAGTTGCTGGCTGGGGGCCTTACTGGCCATAACACCTACACATGGTCGCTCCAGTGCTCTAAGCCTCTCGTCACATGGTGCCAGGGTTCCTAGGGCGAGCAGCCTGAGAGTGCGGACCAGAAAGAACTGGTATGGTAGACTGCGACCTCGCCTTACAGATCACGTCCTGTCACTTCCATCACATTACAGGCGGCCACCAAGCCCTGCCCAGCTTCAAGGGGAGAGGAAACAGATTCTACTTCTTGATGGGGAGTGGCAAGGTTCTGCAAGAGCATATGAGACTAAAAGTATCGCTGTGGCCGTTTTTGGAAAACACAGTCACGCTACATGAACGCAGTGTTGGGTGTTCTTTTATATCCCATTACCAAGGCCAAAGGATTCAGAATATCTGGTTACAGGGAGCTTGTTTAAGCCTCTTGCCCCCTCTCCCAGACCACTGAGGCCTTGGGGAAAGGTGGTTTGTTTTTTGTTTTTTTTGCAATGGGGGGGATACAGGGTCTCACTCTGTCACCCAGGCTAGAGTGCAGTGGCATGATCATGGCTCACTGCAGCCTCAACCTCCCAGGCCTCCAGCAGTCCTTCCAGCCTCAGCCTTCCGAGCAGCTAGACCACAGGTGTGCACCACTGCACCCAGCTAACTTTTCAATTTTTTGTAGAGGCAGGTTTTGCCGTGTTGCCCAGGCTGGTCTCGAACTCCTGAGCTCAAAAGATCTGCCCACCTCGGGCTCCCAAAGTGCGGGGATTATAGGCATGAGTCACTGTCCTGGGAAACCTTTACAGTTAGAGCTTTGCTGAAAACAGAGGCCAGAGGCCCAAAACGTAGAAAAAACATAGAAGAGGCAGGAAGCAGTGTCAGTGGTTAAGAAGCAGACCTTGGAGCCAGATGGAAAGGACTGAAGCCCAACTCTGTGCAGACAGCTCTGTGGCCTAGAGCAAGAGCCTCTCTGTGCCTCAGTTTCCTCATCTGTAGAATGAGGGGAATAATAGGGTTGTCATCATAATTTGACAACCCTATGCCTGGCACATAAGTGCCTAATGAGTATTAGCCATTTATGAAACTAATTATCATTATTGGTATTATTTCAGCTCCTTGTAAAAAAAAAAAAGCTTATGTCTCAGCAAGGGCTATAGATCCTGCCCCACTCCTGCCAGTCCTGGAGAAGATTTCTTGGCAGTCACTCCCTTTTATTTTGTTATTGACCTCATCAGGGAACCTGCGGGAAACATGAGCTCCTAATCCCAGTAAGATCCTAGCCGTATATAGGGATTTCATCTGTCTGATTTTATCTAGTTACCCAGGTCTTAGAATCTTGACTTTCCAGGAAAAAAATTTTTTAAAAAGAGCATTTAATGTATGTTCTAAATTTTTCTCATTTGTAAATTAACATGCTCTGTTTCCTCAATTCTAAGCTCCCCCCAACCTTAAGACCATTAATTTTTATAACTTGTTAGGTTGGTGGGGGAAGAGTGCCAATCTGTTGTATAGTACATTCCAATCTCAACAACACTAAAATATAGAAAGGTACAAATTGGAATTAAGGAAACACATTGAGTTCACTAGAATTTAGAAGTCTAGAAAAACACCTTAGAACTCCTTATAATTAGGTTGGGTGTGTAGTTTTAGCAGGATACTTTTGAGCAGGAGAGGACCCCAGTCGGCACCTGGTCACAAGCATAAAACTGGGATTTGGCTGGGTGCGGTGGCTCACGCCTGTAATCCCAGCAGTTTGGGAGGCCTGGATGGGTGGATCACCTGAAGTTGGGAGTTTGAGACCAGCCTGACCATCATGGAGAAACCCTGTCTCTACTAAAAGTATGAAATTAGCCAGGCATGGTAGTGCATGCCTATAATCCCAGCTACTCGGGAGGCTGAGGCAGGAGAATCGCTTGAACCTGGGAGGCAGAGTTTGCAGTGAGCCAAGATTGCACCATGGCACTCCAGCCTCAGCAACAAGAGTGAAACTCCGTCTCAAAGAAAAACAAAAAACAAAATAAAAACTGGGATTTGCCTGAGCAGACTAGAATATCTGCTCCCCTAACCTAAAACCCTGAGTTAAAACTAGAGCTAACCACAGTTAACACACCAGGCCCTTGGCTTCCATTTCTTCTCTCAGTGGTTGTATTTTCGCACCATGAGTCTTTCTTAACCTTTTTAATGTGTATGTCATGAATATTTTCCCGTGTTATGAAAGCAAGATTATTTAAAGCTACATTTTTCACAATTACAAAAGTAGTAATATTTTTAATACAAACGTTTAGAAAACACAGAAAAAGCATGAAGGGGAAATAATCACCCATAATACCGTGACCCCCAAAGAGTCCCAGTTAGCATTTTGTCCGCAGTACTTTTCTTTAAATATATTATCTGTGGTTTTATTAGGGTGGTGGAAAGGGTGGAGTTACAACTTCTATGCCTGATTTTTTTTTTCTTTGCTAGGTGAATGTTTTTGTTAATGGCTACCTAGTATTTTGTCATAAGGCTAAACTATAATTTCTCTAATTAACAAGTACTATTTCATATCTACAGGTTTTGTAATTTTTCCACTTTTATAACACTGTCATGACTGTTCTTGTAAATAAATCTTGGCCTATATGCATGAGTGTTTTAAAATTATTAGAGGTGAAGTTATTGGGTCACAGAATATGCACTTTTTTAAAGATATTCGATACTTTAATGCTAAGTCCAGAGGTGCCTTTTAGACCCAAGCTCAACCATCAACCCTTAAATGTTAGTAGTTATTTCACTACTTATTATGTACTTTATGATGTGCTATATTATATACTTACTTTGTGTCAAGCACAGTGCTTTATATATATTAACTGATTTTACCCTCATAACTTCCTTGTAGATTATTTGATCACTTCCATTATATAGGTGAAGAAATTGAGACATGATAAAGTTAAGGCCACACCACTTGAAAATGGCACCAGCCATTGAACTGAGTGGAAATACAACTGGGTTTACATAGAAATGAACTCAGGGCATGGCTGGAGGGACCACTCCCTGGCTAATATCTATGAAAGGTTACTGACTTCTCCAGACTAGCTGAGTAGCCATTCCTAGAAGCCCAATACTTAATCTAAGGAGGGACAAAGGTCTGGTCCCACTGAGTAGGACAAACACATAGTGAGTTCTTTTACTGAGTGACCGCCTTGTGAGATCCAAAGAAACCCAAACCCTGCCTGGATCTGAAGGAAGTTTCTTCTCATGAAGGGCGTGAGAATGAGACTGGAAGGAGCTGTGGCACATGCTAGAGAAAGCGTGGGCAGGAGAGATGCCCTCAGTATGGGGACCAGGAGGGCACAGAGTGCTTCTTAGACGGTCTAGAAGTGTATCATACCATAGCCACTAGCCACATGAGGCTATTTAAATTTAGATTAATGAAAATCAAATCAAGAATTCAGTTCTTTGGTCACACTAGCCCATCATAAAGGCTCAGTCGTCACAGGAGGCCATGGGCTGTCGTATTGGACAGCACAGGTAGAGAATATTTCCATCATCACAGAAAGTTCTGGGAAATCTGATCTAGAAGCAGGAGTTTGGCAGGCGCGGATTAAGGGATGGAGAATGACCTGTAGTCTACTTCAATTTGGACATGGGTCACGCATGGGAAAGTAGAAGCAGACGTTGGAAAGGGAGTTTGGGGTTATTCCTTGGCATGTTCAGTGAGCCTCATTTTGTGTGGCGTTTGTATTAGACCTCTGTAGTATTTGGAATAGATTGTTAAATCAAACTCTCACGTGTCTATCATGCCCATAGCCTCTTGTGAGGAAGCTATGCCAGTGTGTGGTATCACCTAACCCTGGGCCAAACTGGCTAGAGCAGGGACTGCGTTAGCCATAGTCTGGACACAAGGAAGGTCAGAGGCCCATGAAGTGACTGGTAAATACGGTCCTCCCTGTGAAGAGTGTGCTGTGAGAGAGGCTGGGTCCCAGAATACATGGCAGGGACACACAGGAGCAGGAGAGAAGGATGGCCACTTGTGGCTATACCCTGAGTGGTGAGGAAGGCCCACCAGCTCTCTCCAAAGCCTGCCTGAGAGGTGCTGAGAGGGCTCCCCAGGCCCTTTGCAACAAACCCCATTGCCAGAGGTGGCCAGAGGGCAGCCTCAGTCCTCCCTGCGGCCTCAGAGTCCGTCTCCTGGAGCCACCTGCCTGACAGTGAATTTTCCCTTCATTTCCTCCTCTCAGTACCAACCAGATCCGGGTACCTCATGGAGGAGAAATGTAAAATAAACAGGAGTTTCAGTGAGCTGTCAGGAAGGGGTTTAAGCATCTGCTGAGCCTCTAGAGAGTAGGAAGTCAAGGGTGTCTGTGAGATTCAGGCAGGTGAGAGGTTTAGAAAGGAGCGAAGCTGAGGTGTTGTGGGGTGACTTCCCTGCTGGGGGCTAAGCCAGCCTGGACTTTGGCTGTAAGGAGTCAGTCTCATCTTAGTGTGAGCCCTTTTGCTCCTTTTTCTGCTTATATAACATCTTTGTTTGGCTTGGAAAATTGTACCATGCCAGACATATTTCCAGACACCTCAGACTCTCGTCGCTGCCAAGTTGATCCAAGCAGCTGGGTGGTTTTTCCAGCCAGTCCTGATCGTCGTTGCTCCAGAAGGTTTCTAGTGCTCTTCACAGAGACTTAGATGAGCTGTGTTCAGCCCACCTTGCACCTGAGAGTCATGGAAAGCCGCAGACAACAGCTGTCCACCTGCGGCCCACCTGGCCCCACTCTCAGACACCAGCCAAGGTTTGCTTGACTGCATCAGACCTGCTCCCACCTAGGCTCTGCGCTGGTATTTGCACTGGTGACTTGTGACCGGAGAGCCTCATTGTTTGGTCTGGCTGTGGTCAGAATGTGAACTATTGCACTTTCATTCAGTTTATGGAAAGGAACCAAAAATCGTTGTCTACTCTTGGGTGAAGCCCTATTGTGTATCACACTGCTCAAATTGCTTATTAAACAGAATTATTATTTTATAGTTTTAAAAATGAAAAGAATAAATTCACAACTTCCTCTCACGCTTTTAGGGGAAGAGTGATGACTGCAAATCTGAATCCTTTTTTCCCCCTCCCCTCTTTTGTCTTAATGACTGTTAACTCTTTCTCTAAGCTTATTGAGCAGTGTATTTTTTTTTTTGTTTATTTTTTGAGACAGGGTTTCACTCTGTCACCCAAGTTGGAGTGCAGTGGCATGATCTCGGCTCACTCAGCCTCCACCTCCTGGGTGCAAGTGATCCTCCCACCTCAGCCTCCCGAGTAGCTGGGACTACAGGCGTGTGTCACCATACCTAGCTAATTTTTATGTTTTGGTAGAGACAGGGTTTCACCATGTCGACTAGGCTGGTCTCAAACTCCTGACCTCAAGTGATCCACCTGCCTTGGCCTCCCAAAGTGCTGGCATTACAGGCATGAGCCACCACGGCTGGCTGGAGCAGTGTATTTTTAAAACATTTTTTATGGAAAATTTCAGCCATGCACAAAAGTAGAGAGAATAGCACAGTGAACACTTGTATACCTGTCACCCGACTGCAACAGTCACCAACTCATGGTCAGTCCTTGTGGAGCTGTGGTTTCACTGCCATATTATTGTTTAACAGCTTTATTGAGATACAAATTAATATCAAAAGAGTCATTCTTTTTAAGTGTGTGCAATTCAGTGATTTTTAGTAAACTGACAGAGCTGTGCAGCCATCACCACAATCCAATTTTTGACATTTCTGTCACCTCCCCCACCCAAAGATCCGTCGTACTCGTTTGCTCCCATATTGTTGTGAAGCAGATCCTGCATTGTTTCATCTCATCTGCAATCATTACAGTTGTGTCTAAACTGCTGGCTGGCGTGCCTACTTGTCATGGCGGTGCCTGCTCAGGTAGTCCCCATTCTGCTGATGCCTTTATAAAAGCACATGTGAGCAGCCGGGCGCGGTGGCTCACGCCTGTAATCCCAGCACTTTGGGAGGCCAAGGCGGGCGGATCATGAGGTCGGGAGATCGAGACCATCCTGGCTAACACGGTGAAACCCCGTCTCTACTAAAAATACAAAAAATTAGCCGGGCATGGTGGGGGGCGCCTGTAGTCCCAGCTTCTCGGGAGGCTAAGGCAGGAGAATGGTGTGAACCTGGGAGGCGGAGCTTGCAGTGAGCCGAGATCGTGCCACTACACTCCAGCCTGGGTGACAGAGCAAGACTCCATCTCAAAAAAAATAAAATAAAATAAAATAAATAAAAGCACATGTGTTTAGGGCTACTCCCTATTACAAACCCCAAAGAGCCCGCACTCAGCCTGCTGGCCATTTTTACTGTTGAGAATTCGATTCAACTCCAGATTCAGTTCTACATGACTTATTGACAGCCTACTATGTGCTGGGCACTAGGGACAAAACAGGGAATCCATGTAGTCCCTGCTGTGTGCACACAAGGTCAGACTGGATGCAGTCATCAGAGGCAGCCTCGATGGGATGTGCGCTTAGTAGGCTGCTTGTCTCCAACTGAAGCATCATTCTGCCCTGATCTGAGTGTGTGTGTGTGTGTGTGTGACACAGCGCTCCTGATGACCCTTTGCTTCTGAGTGTAAAGCCCCTACTTGTTTCAGGATGGACAGGAGAGAGTGACCGTGCTGCTCTCATCCCACATGTTAGAGAGAAGACTTCGCACCAGGGTGATGGTTTTGTGTTTCTTTACTCACCTCTCCTCTAGACGGTACGTGGAGACAGAGTAAGAACGTGGCCCAGCACAATGCCTGGGCTACAGAAGGCCGTCAGAAAAAGGATATAAAATTGCATTTGTTCATTCAATCACTTATTCAGCAGATATCTATGGAGAACCAATATACCATTCAAGGTTTCTGGCACTGGTAAAACAACAGTGAACACGACAGATCATCACAGGACTCACATTCTAGGGTGACAGACAGTAAGCAGACAGGTAAAATATACAACTTCCTGGGCAGTGATAAGGGGATTGAATGAGTGGCATCTGCAAATGAGAAAATATCTTTTTAAGAGGCAGAGGATAAAACTATATGTACAGTATGATCCGTTTTTGAAAAGAGGAAATAGTACATATGTGCTTGAAACATACATACATGGAAAGAAATACCTCGCAATGCCAGAGGAGGTGGTTATCTCTGAGGGGTAGCATTATGGGTAATTTTTGTTTTCTTAAATAGACACCTGCCTGAATTAATTTCTACAGTGAGCAAGTATTGATTCTATAACTAGAGTAACACTTTTATTAAAGCAAGAGACTTGACATGAGCAACCTATCTAATGGGCTGAGCCTTGTGAGTTGGAGTCCCAGAGCCCTGCTGGCCAGTGTGAGGGAATCTGAGGCAGTGTTAAACTACGGACTTTCCTTCTGTCACCTAGCTCTCGGTGCTCACTCCCAGGTAGGACAGAACTTAGGCCCTTGACTGAAAACAGAGGCCAGAAGCTGGGACAGGGGGCTCTGTATACAAGCAAGTGCAGGCTGCAATGGAGCAGCGTAGTGGTTAGGAATAGGGACTCTGCAGCTGCAGGCCATGGTCCCAGGCCTGGCTCCTTAACCTGGCTGTGTGACTTTGAGCAAGTTACTTGACCTTCTGTGCCTCAGTTTCTACATGAAAAGATGATAGTAGTACTTAATCCCTAGGACTGTTGTGATGAACTTAGTTAAAAATTTTAGGGGCCGGGTGCGGTGGCTCATGCCTGTAATCCCAGCACTTTGGGAGGCCGAGGCAGGTGAATCATGAGGTCAGGAGATCGAGACCATCCTGGCCAACACGGTGAAACCTCGTCTCTATTAAAAATACAAAAAATTAGCCAGGCGTGGTGGTGGGCCCCTATAGTCCTAGCTACATGAGGCTGAGGCAGGAGAATGGCGTGAACCCGGGAGGCGGAGCTTGCAGTGAGCCAAGATTGCGCCACTGCATTCCAGCCTGGGCGACAGAGCAAGACTTTGTCTGGAAAAAAAAAAAAAAATTTTAGTCCGGGCACGGTGACTCACGCCTGTAATCCCAGCACTTTGGGAGGCTGAGGTGGGCAGATAACTTGAGGCCAGGAGTTCGAGACCAGCCCAGTCAACATTGCTGACTTCAGAGGAGACACCCCCTGCCCTGGGCGTGGGTACAAGCTCAAACCACTGAGTTGTTTCAGCCCAAGCTCACTTCTTGAGGCCTCCCTCTGGGATGTGCTCCCTCTTATGAGCCTTGGATTCAGATTGACCTGGATTTGCTTCTTGGTTCCACCACTTGCCATCTAGGTGATCTTCCTTGGGCAAGTGACCTGCCCTTGGTCCTCACTTTCTTTAGATCTGGGAATTGGGCAGAGTGCCACCTGGCCACAGTTGTGAGGATTAAATGTACCAGCATTGCGCTGTCTGGTATCTAGCAGGTGTTCAGTAGATGATTGCCGCTCCACTTGCCTCCTCCCACCATGGGCTTCCCAAATCACTCCCTGGCCTTCCATACCTTCCGCCCTGCCTCAGCTAGTGCTTCCTTTGCCCTTGGGGATTCCCATGGCCCTGACCCCCAGACATTTTCCCTGCCCATTCCTCGCTATGCTGTTCACTTTTGGTGACCACATGTCAATAACCAGTGGTGAGGCCGGGGTACCCTTTGGAGCCACAGCCTCTATGGCGAGAGACATCATTGCTATGGCAACAAGAGGCAGCAGCCCTGAAGAGGGTGCCTGCTGAGCGGGGCTGCCTGGGTCCCAGCTCTGGCTCTGGATGCACTAGTTGTATGATCAACTCAAATAACTCAATGTCTGTGTGTCTCACCTTCCGTTTTATACAGTGAGGACAGTACTAGTGCCTACCTTGTAAGCTTGTGAGGATATGATGGCACACAGATGTAAGGCACATAGAGCTTGGTGCACGGTGAGCGTACAATCAGGGTTAGTGATTACTTTTGCTCTTCTTGTCATCCTAGGATTCATGCTGATAGCCATAGCAGATACCCTTCTCTTTGGGGTTCAATCCTCAGTGCCCTGTGCCATCCCCACATTGTGTCCGCTGCCCTTGGTTCCCTTTGATGACCTACTCCTCCAGGGATTTTCTTGTGGAGATGGCCGTCCACAGCCCCGTCCTTTCGCTCTCATGCCTGTCTAAAGAAGCATGTCCTCCTGCAGTGATGACAAGAGTGAGCGGCAGAAAATGCTCTTTTTGCTGTCTTGAAATTTAGTCAGCCCCAAAAGAAACCAGGAAATTGTGTCAGACACCGAAAGAGAAACAAGCTAGAGAAAAACCATTACTTGTTGCAAACCAAAATTTGTGATTTCAGTTCAGTTCAACACAAGCACCAAACCACCAGGTTTGCTACACAATAAGTGTCAATGGTGCTTCTTGCCCTTTTGGACACAGTGACATTTTTGACAAGTTGAGCTTTCCAGCCCGATCTTTCTTTTTTTTTTTTTTTTTTTTTTCCGCTCTGTCGCCCGGGCTGGAATGTAATGGCACAATCTCGGCTCACTGCAAGATCCGCCTCCTGGGTTCACGCCATTCTCCTGCCTCAGCCTCCCGAGTAGCTGGGACTACAGGCGCTCACCACTACGCCCGGCTAATTTTTTGTATTCTTTAGTAGAGATGGGGTTTCACCGTGTTAGCCAGGATGGTCTCGATCTCCTGACCTCATAATTCACCTGCCTCGGCCTCCCAAAGTGCTGGGATTACAGGTGTGAGCCACTGCGCCTGGCCCCAGCCCGATCTTTCTAAATGTGATCCTGACGACCTTTGCCAGTGAAGTACAGTGGTGACTCAGTGATGTGATTGGGGTACAGGCCATCTGTCTGGGCTGCACCTGTTGTGAGAAATCGGTTAGGGATGAAGAGAACATGGCCTGGCTTGAATAACAAGCAGAGAATGTTCTGGCCCCATCACTAGCCAAGAATCTGGAACCTGAATCCCTACATCATACCCACACCCTGGGTAGTCTGCCTGGAGAGCCTGAATGGCACCCTCTGGGGGCATTTGATGAGTACATTCTACCAAGTGGAAAGAGGCTCTGAGGGCAGCCTCCAAAATCACCTCTTCTACTAGTCACAAGGGACCTTGTGCTGGGTCCCTAATTGATGTTTGGCAAAAACACAGCACAGTTCTCTCCTAAAGTCCTACAGACCAGTGAAGGAGGGAGGTGGGCTTTTTAAATGCAACAGAGTGTCATGGAGCTGTCACAGAGGATAGCGGGATGAGCCCAGGAACCATTCATTCACCCAGTGTTGAACTGAGCACCTACTATGTGCAGGACACATAAAGGATACAAGTGAAACCAACAGGGTCCCTGTACTCGTGGAGCTTGCATCCTAGGTGGAGAGGTTAGCAGTAAACAAGTTAACCAACAAACATAGATATAGTACAGGTTGCAAAGGTACCCTAAGAGAATATTCGAGACCTTCCTGAGGGGCAGGGTGTGAGAAACTCTAGGAACCCAATGTGTTTAGAGAAGCAGAGGTAGCTGGGATCAGAACCTGCAGCTCCACTGGGCCTCATTAGAGGATGCTGAAACTGATTCAAGAGTATGGGACTATCGAAGGGTTTTACATTAAGACTTTAAGGTGTTCTAAAGTTGATGATGATTGCTGTGTGGACAGTGGATTGGACAGTGGATAGTTTTTATTAATGGTGGCATTTCAACCAATGGGGAAAGAATGAGCTGTCCAGTAGATAGGTTAATACAGTCGACTGACTGACTGGATACAGTCAGAACCCTACTATATGCTCTAGTTCATGCCATCTACAAAAATAGATCCCAGGCGGGGCACAGTGGCTCACACCTGTAATTCTAGCACTTTGGGAGGCCGAGGTGGGTGGATCACCTGAGGTCAGGAGTTTGAGACCAGCCTGGTCAACATGGTGAAACCCTGTCTCTACTAAAATACAAAAAAAATATCTGGACATGGTGGTGGGCACCTGTAATCCCAGCTACTTGGGAGGCTGAAGTGGGAGAATTGCTTGAACCTGGGAGGCAGAGGTTGCAGTGAGCCGAGATCACGCCATTGAACTCCAGCCTGGGCAACAAGAGTGAAGCTCCATCTCAAAAAAAAATAATAATAATATAATAATAATAAAATAAATCCCAGATGATTAAAGAGCTAAAAATTGTATGTATATTTTTAAAGGCAGCAAATATTTATTTTTAATGTAGGAGACTATTTTATTTATTTATGAGTTAGGTTCTCACTTTGTCACCCAGGCTGGAGTGCAGTGGCCCAACCACACTTTACTGCAGCCTCTAACTCCTAGGCTCAAGCGATCCTTCTGCCTTGGCCTCCTGAGTAGCTGGGACTACAGGTGCATACCACCAGGTCTGGCCAATTAAAAAATTTTTTTTGTAGAGATGTGGGTCTCACTATGTTGCCAAGGCTGGTCTCGAACTCCTGGCTTCAAGTTATCCTCCTGCCTGTCTTGGCCTCCCAAAACACTGAGATTACACCTACTGCACCCAGCCATTTTTTTTTTTTTTAATAAGTTTGAGATAGAGAACAAGACACAAAACCCAGAAACTATAAAAACTGATGCATAGATTTGACTGTATAAAAACTTTTAACTTTAGTCAAACAAAAGACTAAAAATAAAGGCAAATGAGAAATGGAGAGAATATATGTGCAATATCTATAAGAGACTAAGTAAGTTAGTATTTAGAATATAAAGAGTTCTTTGAATTCATAATAAAAATAGAAGCAATAGAAAATTAAGCCAAGAACATGAAAAGGCAGTAGCCAATAAACATATGAAACGGTATCTAATCCACTAGTAATTAAGGAAATGAAAATTCAAATAAGGTATTATTTCCATTCTTTTTAAATACTATTCATCTGTGTTGGCAAGATTCCCTGTGGAGGGAGACAGGTATCTCTTTTGGATAACATTTTGGTAACAAACAACAAAATTTTAAATGTGCATATGCTTTCACTCAATAATTTCACTTCTAGGAATCTATCAGAAATATTCATACAGAGACCGGGTGCCATGGCTCATACCTGTAATCCCAGCACTTTTGGGAGGTGGAGGCAGGCAGATCATGAGGTCAGGAGATTGAGACATCCTGGCCAACACGGTGAAACCCCATTTCTACTAAAAATACAAAAAAGTAGCCAGGCGTGGTGGCGGGCGCCTGCAGTCCCAGCTTCTCGGGAGGCTGAGGCAGGAGAATGGCGTGAACCTGGGAGGCGGAGCTTGCAGTGAGCGGAGCTTGCACCACTGCACTCCAGCCTGGGTGACTGAGAGAGACTCCATCTCAAAAAAAAAAAAAAAGAGAAAAAAAAAGAAATATTCATACAGTTACCAAGAAGTACGTCTAATGCTTTGCCAGGTTGTTTGTATTAATGAAAAACTGGAGATGTGCTAAATTCTCACCAATAAAAGATTAAGTAGGTCTCCTCAACCAGAGGCAATTTTGCCCCCCAGGGGACCTATGGCAATGTCTGGAGACATTGTGGATTGTTGCAAGTGGTGACTGGGTAAAGGCTAGTATCTCGTAGGTAAAGGCCAGGATGCTGTGATAAGACAACCTATAGGACAGCCACCTACAACAAAGAATTACCCAGCCCCCAATGTCAGTAATGCCAAAGTTGAGAAACCCTGGGTTAAATAAAGCCACTGCCGTACTGGGGAATAGTATATAGCCAATGAAAAGAAAAAGGTAAAATTATATTTGCATGACATTAAAGATCTCTAAGATGTGTTATTTTAAAACTGCTTTTTTGAGACTTAATATGTGATTCTTACAATGTAAGAAAACAAAATAAGTGGATTTTTAAAACTACTACAAATCACTTCCCCTCCCCAGAGGCAAGTGCTGTTATTAGATTCTTATGTCCTTCCAGAATTAACGCCAGCGTGGACAAACATAGAATCTGGTTTTCGGTATGCTGTAAACAGGTGACTCTGCTGTGCAGTTACATTCAGAAACCAGTGGTGCATCACTGACCTGCCCAAGTCCTAGAGCTCAGGACCCCTGACATGTTTCCTAGATTATTCTCCCTCCCTCGGGTTTCTATGGCATTTTCATTTGTAGATACAAAACAGAACTATGTTTTGTTTTTGGGGAGGATAGGGCCATGGGCAGACCCTGGGGCAAGATTCTGATGTTGGTGAGTGAGACAGGACCTAGAGGAAGCCACGGGGCAGGTTTCTCAGCCAGTGGGTGTTAATGAGATTGCACAAAGGCTATTAGATGATGATGACTTTAACAGGGAGGCACGGGTAAATCTCCTTACACTCAGTGCAAAATTCAGCCAAAGTTGGGAGCATACCACATTCCTCTTCCTGTCTGCCACTGCCAAGCAGTCATTTATGGGCCCACTTGCATTTACAAATGTAGGTTCCAGGCACTGCATCCTCATCCGCCTCTCTGACTTTCTGAACAAGCCTGGCTTTCATATCCTGGGGATTTCCTGGAAAGCCTCTTAGAGTTGGGTCTGAGACTTTTGATGTTGGCTTTCATCAGTTACTTCTCCGCCTCCTGCCTTCTCTCACTGAAGTTTCATTCCAAGGTCAGATGCAGGGAGAGTGGGGTTGGGTGACCTACCAGCATGCAGCCCAGGGCTTCCAAAACAAAAGGTGTCTGGGTGGCATCGTTAGCCAGACACAGGCACACTCAGTGGACCAGAGTTGGCAGAGGCACGAGGGCTCAGGTCTGCTGAGGAAATGTTCCCCAGCATGGGTGGCAGGAGACAGGGTCCTGAGACCACCAGACACCTCCCCAGCCCAGCTCAGAAGCAGGCATCTCTTGAAAACTGCCTCTTGAGTTTTCTCTAGTTTTTCATCTTAGACATCAAAATCTCATTTCTTTCTGGAAGGATACTCAGCCAGGCTGAGAACCTGGGCAAACTTTCTGGCACCTGGCTGGCTGCGGGTGTACACTCAAGCTGCAACCAGACTAGTTTGGTTCCAGAGTCCTCAGGGGACCGTCACTTTCTCAGATCATGTCAGCTTGCTTCATCTCTTGTGAAATTTAAACCCTCTGCTCCTTCAAAAAAATAATCTCTTCTTTCTAGTAAGAATTCTGACAGAATGGAGTCAGAAAGGACACGGGTTTCGGGGAGTGATGTTTTTAATCTGGAATTCCAATTCCAGTGACTCTGTGGTGTCATGGCTGGTCTGTGGGACCCTTGCTTTGAGTTGAGGGCTCTTGCAGTGTTACTTTTAAACCCCTGGACATGGCTGGGCACCGTGGCTCACACCTGTAATCCTAGCACTTTGGGAGGCTGAGGTGTGTGGATCACTTGAGGTCAGGAGTTTGAGACCAGCCTGACAAATATGGTGAAACCCTGTCTCTACTGAAAATAAAAAAATTAGCTGGCCGTGGTGGTACAAACCTGTAGTCCCAGCTACTCGAGAAGCTGAGGCAGGAGAATCACTTGAACCCAGGAGGCAGAGGTTGCAGTGAGTGGAGATTGCGCCACTGCACTCCAGCCTGGAGCAAGACTCTGTCTCAAAAGAAAAAAATAGGCCGGGCTCGGTGACTCACACCTGTAATCCCAACACTTTGGGAGGCCAAGGCATGCAGATCACGAGGTCAGGAGATCGAGACCCTCCTGGCCAACATGGTGAAACTCTGTCTCTACTAAAAATACAAAAATTAGCCGGGCATGGTGGTGCATGCCTGTAATCCCAGCTACTCGTGAGGCTGAGGCAGGAGAATCCCTTGAATCAGGGAGTTGGAGATTGCAGTGAGCCAAGATGTTGCCACTGCACTCCTGCCTAGCGACAGAGTGAGACACCATCTCAAAAAAATAAAATAAATGAAATAAACTCCTGGACATTTATGTTAGATATTTTATTTTTATGACAGTTCAATATAAAATAAGAAACCGTTATGAGAGGAGCTAGAAGGCACCTTAAGAGACAAGTGAACCCTTTGGACAGCATCACTTTGAAGTCACTCTACACAGAAACATTGTCTTCCAGGAGCCTCCCAGCTGCTTCACTTGGTCCTCAAGTCGGAACCCCTACCTCCAGTCGTCTCTCAATTCAGGCATGTCTGTTCATGTGCTTTTTTTTTTTTTTTTTTTTCCCCCCGAGACGGAAACCTTGCTCTTTCGCCCAGGCCGGGGTTCACGCCATTCTCCTGCCTCAGCCTCCTGAGTAGCGGGGACTACAGGCGCCTGCCACTACGCCCGGCTAATTTTTTATATTTTTAGTAGAGACGGGATTTCGCCGTGTTAGCCAGGATGGTCTCGATCTCCTGACCTCGTGATCCACCCACCTCGGCCTCCCAAAGTGCTGGGATTACAGGCGTGAACCGCCGCGCCCGGCAGTTCATTTGCTTTTCTAACTGGGAACATGAAGACACCTGAGAGGGGTAGAGCTGGCGGGAGGAGGGCAGGGATAAACACCCCAGCGCCTTTTCCCCACGGTTGTCTTGTTCTTTCTTCTACTTCACCTTTCCTTTTTTTTCAACTTGTATATTAAGTTCAGGGGTACACGTGTAGGTTTGTTATATGGTAAACTCATGTCATGGGAGGGGGTTGTTCTACAGATTATTTTGACACCCAGGAATTAAGCCTCTAAATAATTCAGGGGGCCCCAGCATTTGCAGAAGTTACCTACTGGCTTTAGAAGGATTTCTGAAAGGTTTGATGTCAGTGAATTTTTTTTTTTTTTTTTAAATTTAATGTGCTGGCTAAGATGCTCGCTATTTAAACTTGTTTTTTTTTTTTTTTTTTTGTATTTTTTTTTTAGTGGAGACGGGGTTTCACCATGTTAGCCAGGATGGTCTCGATCTCCTGACTTCGTGATCCACCGTCTCGGCCTCCCAAAGTGCTGGGATTACAGGCTTGAGCCACCGCGCCCTGCCCTTAAACTTGGAATGAATGAATTCCTGGGCAAAAAGGAAGCTTTTAGGAGCATACATAAGCACACACCATACTCTGGCTAAATTAGATTTTCTAAAATTGGGCTTTCCTAAAGAAAGGCATATGGTAGACGGCCATAGGCCAAGTGAACCGAATTCAGGAAGTGTTATTTCATGAGCACGTTTCCCAGGGAGGTTTGAGATGTTTCTAACAGAGCAGGAATGCACTTCCTGTCACACAGTACTCAGCCCTAGAAGCTCGGAGCGGGAAGACCTGCACAGGCCCCTTTTGTGCGCTGGGAAACTTCCACATCCCTGTGTCACCATGATAAAGAGCTAACTTTGTCTTCAACGAAGAGTTGGAAAATTATTTTAATCTCTGCATTAAACTAGATGCAAAATTGCCTCTTTACCTAGGAATCACACTGCATAATTGCACATTATCTACATTTTCAGTCATGCCTTGAATAATACTTCTTGAGTTCATGAGGAGGTCAGTGTGGGGCTGGGAAGACCCCTAGACTTCCCCGGGTAGGTGTAGCCTGGAAGTAAGACTGACGTAGCAGCAAAGCCCTGGCGATCATGCACACTTCTGAGTAAGGCAGAGGCGTGAATCATTATATCACCATGGCTGGCTAGCTTCGGAGGAACCGAAAAAATGAAAACCCTTGGCGTTGCTCATTAGCAAAGGGAAATACACAAATGTTGAGGGACTCTTCGTGTCAGAGCCACACTCTTCTGTTTTGATCTGGTAAGCAGAGCACTCTCCATGCCCACTTCAGGCTTCCGGCTGAGAGTCCTCTTTTAGCTGTTGTACCTGTTGCTGAGGATCTTCGTAGCGGGCTAGCCACAAGGGGCTTTAGAAACTAGGAGCATTGGCCGGGCGCGGTGGCTCAAGCCTGTAATC